CTACAAGCTTTTGGACGTTCCAGATATTCTCTCTTCGCTCTGAACCAGACTTCAATACTTGCCTCGTCAATCTGGCTTCCCAGATAGCCAATTTCATCAAATATGTTAGGTCAAACGGCATACTATTTTTCACAAGAATGCTGGTTCGTGAACAAAACTATCGCCCCAGAGCGGCGACTAGAAACCCGCAGCCTCTCGCCGTTCGGCGACGTGCTGCTACGTTTACATTTTTTTTCGTTCAATGACGCAGAGGCCAGCGAACACGATTTCCGGTTTGTGTTTTTTGAAGATATGTCTGAAAAAAAAAATGTAACTAATCCAGCACCCAAAGACCCTTGCGTTCGCTTCTGACCCTTGCAAGATGGATATAATGTCAGGAACCTGCCCTTGGGCTTGCTTACAAGATAAGGTTTTGACGCCTGGCTTGATTGTAGTCAGAAAGCAAGGCACCCCATTATAATCCTAATTATCTACCTGACATGTTTGGAAAGCTGATATTGAATTTTCCTCTTATTCTGAAATACCGAACTGATCGAATCTCCTCCGGAAATGTCTCGCAGAGCACATCGCGTTCCCAGCGAATGGGCCCTCATCAGCAACGAGATCCACCCAGAAGGCGAAGACAAGACTTTTTTTCACCAGTTCAAGATTAGTCTAGGGAGGTAAATTTTCGCAGAGGTCTGTTATTAATCTTTATCATTTTCACAAAAGCGTCCGGTCTGTTTGGCTCAACGGGTATCAGCGTTCTCATCCTTTTCTGACGTGGATAAATTCTAGACCTCCGCTTATAATGGCATCGACGACGTCCTTCACCATCGTACGAACGCGGATGGTGTCATTGGGTATGCGGTCTCGGAGCGTTACCCCGCACATGGCCCTCTCCATGGCTCGCTGAGTGACTGCGAGTTTCTCCTCTTCAGAGACTGGTGCTCCACGTCTCCGCGCCATAGGTCATCGCGGGAAGAACATGCGAGCTGAAGACGCGAGCTTTGACCCGGGGCTCGACGTGCTTAGAAGTAAATCTCGAAGTTTGTTGAACGCGGTCCAGCCCGCTCTGCGGCGTCGGCTAATCTCGAGCGTGAGATCGTTATTCATGTTGACCGCGTTACCGAGATATACGTAAGAGGAGACTCGCGCGATCTCCAGGCCTTCAGGAGGATCGGCTGGTACTGAACTTGTTCGTTGTGCATCCACTGAGTCTTGCTCAGATGAATTTGTAGCCCGATTTTGCCGGCTTCCTGCCTGATGAGGCTCAGGGATTGCGCAATGTCGGCGGGGTCCTCGCCTATCAGAACACAGTCATCAGCGAAGAGGAGATGCATTAAGCGAACGCCGTCGATGTTCACTCCTCCGGGCAACGAGGTTCGCCTCATGATGTTCTCGAGCGCAATAGCGAACAACTTGCGACAGAGGTAATATCCTTAAATTTCCCAAAGAGAGGTCGTACTTTAGAGTTCCTTAGAGATTTTGTTCGCAAAAAGATGGTTTTTTGGATGTGGACATGGGGGAAACAAACGTTGTGAGTGAAGCTATGGATTCTTTTCCAAAATTGGAGAGAATATGGTGGGTTTGGAAAATTAGCAACTGAGCTATCAGCGAAAGTTTTTGCTAGCCTAAGTCAGTTTCTTCTAGTTCTTCGAAAATAAGTTCACACGGCGACTAAAATGCGTACCAAAGATATGTGGACACCCAGAAACTTTCCTTTTCTAAGAATCTGTTGACTTCTGCACCATGAGACCGCCGCCATTCAATTTTTCGGATACGAAAACTTCAAAATTCTCATCTCTCACCGATGTGCTTGCAGCTTTGGATTTTTTAATAGTAAAAACTTCCCTTGTATCAAAAGTATGTGGACACTTTCAAAAAACCGAATGTCCAAAGAATCCGGAATAGGTAGGCCTACAAAGCTTTTGACGATCAGATATTCTGCTCTTCAGGCTCTGAACCAGGCTTCCAATACCTGCCTAGTCGATCTGTTCCCAGCCAGCCAATTTCATCAATATGTTAGGTCAACTGGATATTAATTTTTTCACAAAAATGCTGGGTTGTGAACAAAACTTTCGCCCCAGGCGGGACTAGAACCCGCACCTCTCGCTTTCTGGGCAAGTGCGACACCAAATACTATTTTTTTCGTTCAATGACGCAGAGGCAGCGTACCACGATCCTTTGTGTTTTTGAAAAGATGTAGTCTGAATAAATGCTAACCAATCCAGCACCCGAGACCCTTGCGTTTGCTTTGACCCTTGCAAGACGGAATACATGTCGGGACCTGCCATTGGGCTTGCTATAGAATAAGTGTTTGTGACAATGGCTTGAAAATTGTAGTCGGGAAAGCAAGCACCCCATTATGATCCTAATTATCTACCTGACACGTTGGCAAGCTGATAGTGAATTTTCCACTTCTTCTGAAATTATCTAACTGATGAACCTCCTCCGAAATGTCTCGCCGAGCACATCTGCGGTTCACAGCGAAGTTACCTCCATCAGCAACGAGATCCACCCAGATAGGCGAAAACAAGCTTTTTTTCACCGGTCTAGGGAGGAAATCTCCTCAGAGCGTCTTTTATCAAAGCAACAATTCAGGAACGAATTCGCGGGTAAGGATCACCTTTAATGACGTTGCAGGTGAGAAGTAGGTCAATGGAGAAAGAAATAGTAGAAAAAACGTCGGGCAGGGGCTTAGACAGGGACTCCCCCCTTGCCGTTTAGCGATGGGGGAGAAGTGTGTTGGACGAGTTGTCTGAACCTGCTCGCACTACATGCGCTCCAATTGCAACTCCTGGCAAATAGCCATGCATGCTTGCGAATACATGGCTATCTGCCAGCAGTCGTAATTGAAGCGCGTTAGTTGCGTTCTTATAGAATCGACATTATACAGCGCGGCGGTCCCGCAACGACCGCTAGTCGAGAACGCGCTCTGCGCAGCGTATGTTGGGCAATCCGCCTCTTTATGGGTGATCCGGCCCCTCAAAGAAAACTTCCGCACCCTCTCCACTAGCCGCGATTTCTAGAGTACTGGGTTTCTGAACTTAAAGACATTTCCTACTAAACTTTAGTGAGGCTGGGCGCTATGTTTTGACCGCTAATGCATCGTAGTATTCGAACCCTCGCTGAACTGTTGCTTTACCTAATCCCTAATCGATTTTCACAAAAGGCGATGCCTGTATCTGGGTCAAAAGTATGTATCTCAATGTTCTCATCTTTCTCAGAGTGCCGGAAATTCCACCGTCTTTGCCAACCGAACCAGCACTCGATACAGCACCTCGCCGAAATTCTAAGCCACGCCTTATCTTCTTCGTATCACTCATTCCGATTGAATGAACGATTGCCATTTATGTTGATCGTTGAGAGCGGGAAGATGGAGCGTTCAGCATAGAACGACCTTGAATGAGTAGCAAGAAGACCACATCAGTTTGAGACATTAAAAGGCTATTATTCTGTTTTTTCCTTGAGCACAGTAAACGATTCAATCACAACCGCTCCGATTCAATGTCGAGATTTAGCGTCAGCGGTTCCCGGGATCATTCTTTTTAGACATGCGAGGACGCGGACCGGGTTGATTCAACTTTTCTAGACCTTCAAATTGCGATTCCGCTAATGGTAGGTCCAGGAACATGGCGACCCCATCCTTTGTTTGATATTCTTTGGAAAAAAAGCTTGCCGTGAGTCATACAACCTCTTTCACACGAAAAACTTCGCATACAAAGGCAATCGAGTAGTAAGCTAGTTGTGAAGCAATTTTATCAGTATGGTCTCGAAGGCACGAGATCGTGGGATCGACCTTCATTAGTAAACAAATTGCTTTTTCAGCAATAATGGTGAAGAACTTCCACGACCTGACTTCGTCGGAGCCTTCTGTAGTTTTCTGAGAGAAGACTGCGCGCAACTCCTAGCAAGTTTGATAACTACATATATGCTTACGATTATCAGCGCTCATTGCGCATGCACTAACAGCTTGGCATCAAAAAAGGTGATATTAGTACTCAAGGGATTCACCCACCTATCTGAACAAGTTTACTGCCAAACCTGTGATTTTGACCCATCTTTGATGAAGTGGGGCAATTGATGGTGTTCTCTCAGCTCGTAGTACTGAGTGACCTTGTGAACTCCGGCAAGCTGGATAAGGATATAACGCTGCAGTGGTGTCACTAAATAAGCAGGACCACTTTTTCCTTGTCGCAATCGGGTCTATTGCGCTAATCCCAAAATTCCAAAGTTGGCTACAACATTAACCTTGGAAGTAGACCGCCCTTCTAGACACGACATCTTACCTGTTTAGCGCAAAAACGTTTCGGGTGTGCAACACGGGCACTATGAGCGGTCATTGGTCCGGTGGTAAGGTAATTAAGGCTATGGATAAGCACTTGTACATATTGATTGACACGCTTTTGTATGTGCTTCGCTGGGGTGCTTACACACAGCAAAAAACGATTGCTCATGCTGCATGAGTGCAAATTGAGCCCGAAGGATGCTTCTGCAGCAGCTCGCAGAATCAACGAAGCCTGGCTCAAAGGCGTTGCAAAGAGCACTGTTCGAGAGCGTTCGTTGATTATGCGTTTATTGTTGGTTTTGATTAGTTTTGTTAATAAGCTTATAAGTGAAATGAAAACGGCGGGTAAATTCTGCTAAACCTAATGAAATAGATCTCATCCAGAACGGCCATGGCGAGCTGAGGAACTCTCCTCGGTGGAAGCTAAAAAAAAGGCAAGAACACCACCGGTATAGGTCGCATTCGAAAACTTCCACGATTCTGATCGTGAGGGACATATAGGGAAAGAGAAACCGTGTACCGCCCAAGCTTATCGAGCATTCGAAAACGCAAAAGTTATTTGAAACTAGTCCAAATGATACACAATTCTACCTCATCCTCAAAGAGGGTGAAGGAACAGAGATTCAAAAAGCTAAAAATTATGAACAGCGAAAAGCAAATCAAACGAAACGATAAGAAAGGAAAAAGACATTAGCCATGAGTTTTTTTAAGAACAAAGATCTACACTAACCTCTTCGCAATTTGGAGGATGTGCGATTTTTCGGACTGGAGGGAATGCAGACTCAATAATCTGAAAGTAACTTCAATATGTACCGACTTGGAATGTTCCCTAAGAATTGAGAGCTTAATTTATGAATTAATGCGATCAAAACGGAATTAACCTTGTATTTCGTCTCATCTTCGAGAAAATGATCGTTAGGAAATGTGACGTCAAACTTTACATAGAGATTTCCGCGGATATCATGATGACGCCTTTGTGGCATGCCCTCTCCTACGATGCCACGCACGCAATCTGCAAAAATTACATTACGGCACTAAAGTCGGAGTTTCTGACAAAGTAACGGATGGAGTGAAGATACGATGCCCGTTCAGCACTTGCAGAACAGCTGCAGATCAGGATGTTTCTAAGCTCACGTAGTGCAAGACGAACTTGAAAGAGGAAAAATGTTTCAAAAGTACCTGGTGTGATTATATCGCCCGGTTTGTTCTTGAGGATAAGAGTACGTCCGTCCAGGTGTTTCAAAGGAATTTCATATCCACACAAAGCCTCGTTTAACGATATAGTTCTAAATGCATGGATATAAGCACTGGTCAAAAGTGCAGCAGCTTGATAGGAAAATTATATACTTTTTCGCGATGAGATCGTCGCCCTCCCTCTCGAAGACATCATGTGGCTTTACTTGTATGACAATGACCACGTCACCGGGCTCAATGTCTGGCTAAAAAACAAGCTAGAAAAATAATGTGAAATATAAATAATATAGCATAAGGCAACATAAACAAAAACGAACATCGGACTGATCTCCCTCGCCTGGGAATGTGATTTTGTCGTTATGGCGCATTCCAGGCTCGACGTGAACCTTAATATTTGGAAACTTTCTGTCGTTCTCGAACGAAGGAAACTGTCACAAAACACCTTGAAGCTCTGATAAACCCCATCACTACACTATCAAACATTGACTACCTCCAAAATTTTCTTGACTTCCTCGCTCTTTTCACCCCTGCAGTTGCTACATTTGTCTGATTCGGGAATCCGTGAACCTAAACAGGTAGGAAAAGATAAATTGTGAGATACACATGGATGCTGAAAAGTGAATGCTGTTGCCTCTGTGCCAGAGTGCAACTGCGAGGAATTAACAGCTTGGCGACCCTATCGGTGGGCGGCCAGAGATACGAGTCAAAAAAGGATAAGCAATGCATCGCCAGGCTGCTGACGTTCCCTTCGTCTGCCGGGAAGCTACATTTCGCTTACCCTGGGCGCAAAATACTCTTATCGAGACTGTATACTACTACTCATATCCTGCCTCTACCCGCCTAGCCTAAGGAATTGGTGACCTACATGGTGGATGACCATGTCAAAATCTGTGATAGCATGATCGCAAGAGTGAGCAGGCCTTGTAACACTCACACGGCCCTATGAATATCACTTAGTGTCCGTTTACGTATTATCTCATCCTTAGTATTAGAAACCAAACGGGAAGGTGCTCTAGTGGATACTCCAGGATAAAAAAGCAAAAAATAGCTCCCATTTTAAACTCTTCCACCGGATTCATTTTAACGAGAGCCAGAGCTTTACCCCCTCTCCGAACATATTTGCTCACCTGGTTCAAAAACTGAATAGGTGGTAGTCATATGGCCTTCGCGTCACCTTCTCACTGATTACCACAAGACCAAAGATAGGCTTAGGTCTTGGCCCTTCAATGTCGCGAATATTAAGGCCTAAAGCCATAGGCATACGCTTTCGGCTGCCAGCGTGGGTGAGCCCACCTGACAAGAAATTCGTAAACTGGACTTCTAACAACGCGCACATCTTTTTACACAATTTAATTTCTCACTAGAATATATGACTGCGCGCAACAACGACCGGCTTCCCCACATTCAAACAAAAAAAAAAGTTCGCCGAAATTTTAGCCAGGTCCTTAAAAGATTTCAAAGAAACGTCTCACACCCGAGCGCTACTTAGCAAAAGTCCGGCTTTCGCGATGATAAACACAAGAACAGGAATGATTCCGTTGAATACAGGAACTTCCTGGTGGCGGTGAAGTCTCTCTTCTTCGGATTTTTTGCCGCTTACGGCGATCATGGAACTGGTTCTGTTTAATGTAAGTGGTGGTCACCCTCCACTGAAGGTAGTGATGCCAATTGACACAGTCAGGACGACGCGGCGTTTTTTTCGCTTTTGATCGCGTGAAATGGTGCGATTGTGCGAGCGCCGTCATCTCCCCTCCTCTCCGTGCGCAGTGCTTACTAAGCGAATAGAAACATAAATATAATTGAATGTGCTAATATCATAATTTTCCTAAATACTCACCATATTGGTGGAATCATTAGGGAATCATATATAACTCCAAACGTCGTGGTTCACTGTAAGACAAATGTTTCAGTTTGGAAAAAATTCTCCGGGCGATGTTAAATTTTCACTCAGTTGTCTTACTTTTCTTTTTATTCCCATTAAAACGTGAATGAAAAGAGCATAAGAAGTAAATACAAAGTCTGAGAATAAAGGCATGTACTCTGCTGAAATAATCGGAACAAAAATATTTTATGCCCACTGTAACGAATGTTAACAAACTTTTTGTTTTCATACGATTACATGAAATCAATTTCTTTCCAATCGAAATACCTTTTACATATTTACCATAGCTGAAATTACTTGGTAATAGTCATGTTTTTTTTATTTACTGCACAACATCCACAGAGGAACATGGCGCTCAAAATCGCGCTCGTTCCACGCGACCGAAAAGCTAAAAAATACGCGCATCGTGGAAGTGCTAACTAATTTTTAAGTTTTAAAATAAAAAATCTTTACGCAAGTTGCGAACAATCACACGCCAAGCGTATTAAGCATGACCCACTTTAATCACGTCAGAAAGTTCACTGTACCAATGCAAGCTGATCTGGAATTCTTCCTTCGAGATTATTTTTCTACTAGATTCCACTGATTTTCACTTTTTATGTGCTCCAGTGGTCTGGACCGTGAAACACCATAACAATGCAGAACGCAGACCGCGAGACACATAATCGAGTTAAGAATAGGATTGATTTTGCAACTCGTCATTTCTATTCATTCTTTATTCTACTTTTTATATGCCAGGTTTCGCTCAACTTAATGGCTGCTTATTTTGTCATGACGAAGTGAAGAATCGGGAGCTACAAAGATGCCATACTTTAGTGATCGATTCTGTCGACAGACAGAGATTTCATGGGAGAGCATCCGCCCCTTACGGGATAACCTTAACGTTGTTCGTAACAACCTACCGTTAGCCTGAGCTCTCGGGCTGGTGTTTAGCAAATTTCATTCTTCTGCCAAATGAATATTATAGTACACCAACGCGATAATATTGGTTAAAAAAGCGTGATTACCTTCCCCTCCACAGTCGTTACATCTGAATTGCAATTTGTTGTAACGCCATTCCTGAGGCCAATTTGCTGTACAACAATTCTTTACTCCTCGACACGACAAGAGTGACAATTCGTAAAGATTGCCGCATTTTGTCCACCAGTTCTGAAAATGTGTATGATTGAAACAACGAACTAACTAAAAATACTCGAGACAATTCGTAACTAAGTCAACGATGACACGTTGAAAAGTATCGCTTTTGAAAACAAGCTAAGTTTCAGCTCTCCATATCGTATGACGACATGTTCTCAACGCCCACATCCACTTATGCCTGATTCCCTCGCCATCCTTCTTGGAGTGAATACAAATGTACTAACGCATAAAAACTTTCTCTAGGACACAACGAATAAACCCTACCAAGACACAGTTCTGTCTCGGTAGCTTAAAGGAGATATTTACCGAATTGGTATGAAGGTGAAGAAAGGGTAATCGATCTTAGTTTATTACCCGCGACGCCGCTGAGTGCGCGTAACTGACACGCGCAATTCGCATGGGAATAAATTTTGACTCTCGGGCCTATCATCCTCAACTGGCGGGTCTGGCGATAGCCGCCCACCGCCGACCATCTATCAATCGCCTAGTTCAATATTTTGGCAGTGATTAGATAGCTAGAGAGTGTATGTTGAAGGGGCACAACGATTGAACCCTAATGCTCGTACCAACCGGGCGTAAGGCAGGGTATCCATTTCCCGTGTTTTGAGCCGTTTCCATGGTTTCCTTTCCTTTCGTGTAGCCATCACCATCCTGGGTTATTTTTGAAATGGATTGCTTTTTATCGTGAACTCGTCCGTTTAAGAAAGCCTAGGTAAGAAAACGGGTATTTGAAAATTCTTCCTTCTCTTCCCGTTGAATAACTTTTCACTGACCCAAGAGGTGTCACTATCAATGTATTGTTTGATTGTATATCCTGTTCTTTTCATTCCACAGTCTTTCTTTGATTAATCGAAGTCTCGGATTTTACCGCATATAACTTCTTCCCAATGTGACATTCAGGGAATTAAACATACCTGAAACTTCCGCCGAGTTCGTCTGAAACTATTCATTAATTAAATTTGGGCGAGTTAACAAAAGGGCATCACTTTTACCTGGTCGTCCACACCCACCCATGCCCGAAGAATCCCGAAGGTGATCTCGTCATCTCACCAAATATATGTAAGAAAACAGTTCACCAGCCTAATCCGCCCATAAAGCGGCAAATGTTCAGCCATAGTCATAACCACAAAACGTAAAACTGGCGCATCATCATTCACAGCTTAAACTAATACCTCCACCTCAGTCCTTCTGATGGCGTCACCCTTCTCAATTCATATACGCGCCGCTCTGTGTATTGGATAAAATTTCGTACGCGAACTATACTCCTGAACGAAACCAAACGAGTCTATAAAAGTAAAACGCCAATGATTTGGAACGCTTAACTACAATTAAAACATTATGTTATTGTTAAACGACAAACCTGGTCTCCATGATTGGAATTTTTTGTCAGGTGCAATTCTCATTGCTAGTTTGTCGATATTCCTGCAAAGTAGATTTGCACTACGTAGTCACAGGCTTTTTGGTTATTTTGTGTAAGTTTAGAACTACCTAATTCAGGAAATCTCGTTTCTGATTTCAGTCAGCTATAAACGAGCTAACGTAGACCCTTATAAGTAGTGACGATTCTACGCCACGCGCGCTAAGTTTGTGCGTACTAACAGATACACACTCATCCTCACTAACAAACGAATACTTTTTAAGTTTTTTAAAAAATATGATCCACATATGGCCAAAGCAAGGAACGAGCCTTGCTTACTTTCTAATGTCGCATCGCTGCGTCAGGCTTCACTTTTTAATAACAGTCATACGACGAGTACAAACGCGACCACTGAGCTCTACGCATACCTGGCCCAACTCCAGCCTGAAAGAACATGGCTCGACTCCTGAAAGTGCTGCAAACATTGCTGTAGAGCCACTAGTTAATAATAAACTTGAGCAAATACCCGGACACAGCGAGTCGAAATGAAACCGAGTTCTCGAACATTCATGACACCGCAGAAGGCGCCGAGAGCGCAACTTTGCGTCAATGTCAACTGTGTGTGCTTTCGTTCCTAGTTCCTTGATGCTTTCTAAAGCAGCATGCGAAGTCGTGTCAAATTTGTGAAAGAAGTATTCTTGAATCTTTCGGTCAATATCTACCGGCTCATCCATTACTTGTGCAAAAGGGATTTTATTGGTGCATGCGGCTTAAATTTCTTGCCCTAACCATTCGGGGATATGCCGCTTGCAGCCTTTCGTTAAAAGACAAACTCATAATAACAAACGTTATGAGTGAAAATAAGTGATTGCGGGCCTGGATTCTACATCGCGGATAGAAAAGCTTTGAAACAATGTTATAGGACGTGCAATTTGGAAAAAAAAATCATATTACCTTCCTAGCAACTGATTGACGCCTAGATGGGCAGAGGGGGGGGGTTGCGGTATCCTTTGAAGGCAAATAGGCATGTAGCTAGTTTTTAGAGGATAGGGTGTGGTTGTGTGTTCGCATGCTTAAGTGTGTTGAGTGAGGAGGGGGCTGGGGGTGGCAGTGGCGGCACCGTTCTGCTCGGCATCTACGCGCTTTTCTCCTTCTACGAGCGAGATGGTTTAGGCTCGAATAATCGTAGCCTTCATCGTAAAACTGCCCTCCCCCTAGAATGTCGGCCTACTTCCGCCTGCAAACTCGACTTAGAAGTAATCATTATACCAGCCCCTTTTGGCGTTTCTGCTGAGCCGGATGCTGAATGTTCGGGGAGGGATGAGGTCTCCTGCCGGTCGGACGTGACATACTTCAAGCGGACCCTTAAAACTCCTCAATTTGATCTTTACCTACGAACTAGCATAACATACAAAGATGCACGACAGCGCCTTCTCTGCCACTTCGTCTTCAGAGCCTAGTTCCGAATATCAGACCACAATCATCTGCCATATTGTCAGCAGGAAAAGAACAAAAAGGGACTGTTTGCCTCACTCCCAACTTAGCACACTGTGTCACCAGAAAAAGAAAACTTTTCCTTCTGCAGTTTCCCATTCCGTCTTTTCTTGAAACCTGGTATTCCAAAGAGTGTTGTTTAGGTGGGCCTAGTGCCTATACCAGATTTTTAGGGTGGAATATTTATACGCCTGGACACGTTCGACGATTTCGTCGTTACCAAGCCCTGAAAGGCATATCGAAATCGTCTTGCCATGTTGCCGTTCTCGCTCTATGACTGACCAAACGTCTCCTACTAAATGTAACATCTCCCGCGCGCGAAGCGAATTCGCGGAACTACGCGCGTCCCTCATAGGCAGAATTCGAATTAACGGTCCAATCTCACCTTATTTTCACAGGTCTGCGCCGCTTCAGTTCTCCGCAGTCATTGAGAAAGTGAGACTAGCTTTTTCCATATGGACTCACAAATAAAGTTGTATCTTCAACTTCCGTTTAATATCCGGATCACTTTAGTGACAGTTATACACACGCTGTCTTGAGAAGAGCCGACTGGCCCATGATTTTATCTGTCATCCATGCCAAAAACAACCTTAATACATCACGCAGAAATCGCACTCTACGCCCGCGGGATATTGCACCCATGGATAACCTGCGTGATCTGGCCCGTATGGAAAGGTAGGCAGATGTGCACAAAGTATCTGTGGTTTAACAGCTTCAGTGTTTCAATCAGTAATACGCCTCGTAGGATAAGAAACATTGGAGACACGTTGATGATACGTATAAAAGAGCATTTGGCTAGTAAACGAAGGGAACGTTTGACCGCACCACTTGGCAAACATAGGAGGGAAAGTCATGCGGGTTGTGACTTTGACGTTAAGTGCACGATTCTGGCGTACGAGAATGATATCGGTGCTAGGAAAACTCTCGAGGCTTCTGGATAAAACAACGCAATCCGAGTATGAATAACAGGAATGAGTGCATCTCCATAACTGGTGATTTCTTGCCATACATTCCGCTTTGTGAGCTCTGATTAGGCAAACGTAACGTACGGCACGTGACTTTGCTAGCAGCACACAAGCGGTCAGTCTCACTTTCTCCATTGACTCGCGGAGCTGAGCGGCCCGTCCTGGTGGAATTAAGGTGAGTTGACCGTTATTCGAACATCTGCCTTATGAGTCGCGCGTAGTCGCGCGTAGTCGCGCGGGGGAGCTGTTACATTTAGTAGGAGTGGGTCAGCTATGAGCGGAACGGCAACATCGCAAGACGTTTCGATATGCTTTCAGGCCTTTGATAACGACGAAATCGTCGAAACGTACGCGTAATAAATATTACACCCTAAAAAACCTGTATAGCACAGCACTAACAAAAACACTCTTTTCTTCTGCTTTTCGTGGCGCGAAACGTTCCGCTGCAGAACCCCAGGTCCCATACCGCAGATAGACCTGAGGCTCTAGAGCGGAAAAAGTTCGGCGCTGCGAAGAGCGGAAAAATCTCGCCTAGCGATCCACACACAGGACATTGCTTGTCACTCGAAATGCGTAAAAAGCTGGAGAGGGCAAATTTACTTTACCTCGCTGAGAAAAGCGTGGAGATCAGCGCGCCATGCCTTCAACCACTGCTCGGGAAAGCATACTTTACGGCCCCAGGGCCAGCGGCAGGGACAACGGTCACGTTGGACCGATTCCGGAAGAAGGCGGGTTAAGAGAGGTTGGGTGCCAAAAGTGGGCGCGGTGGGCACAAAGTGGGCGGGGTTTGCTAATAAATTTATAACTCGGTTCCAAGAAGCCATGAGACGAGGAAAAAAGTAAATAGATGTCAGCGAAGGAAATGAAGCTAACTGCTATTAGTGGGCGGGGAATGCACCAAAAAAGGCGGGGTTATCCACAAAACATTTTAACTCGTTCCCAACAGGTCGTGGAGATCGGATCGAGTTTCAAAATGGAAGGGAGGTCGACTGCTATTGGTTTGCGGAACGTGGGCCAGTGCGGGCGGAGTTTGCGTCAAAATTATGATTTGTTACCTGAAGACCGGGAAAAAAGTGGTTAGAGGTCAGTGACAGTGGTGGACGAAGAAGAAGAGGTCAAAAGCCGTCGGTGGATTGAGCGGATAGAATCTACCCTCTAGCCAAGAGGTAAAACATTTGTAAAGGGACAAATTTGAGAGTTCACACCGCACCAACCCACATCGCCGCAGAGCTGTGTCGTGCGCGCAACGCGTGCAGCGCCAACTGGTAGCTCATGGAGGAGGAAAGAGTGTTCCTAGAAATTGTGTTGTTTGTGCGGTGAAAGCGCAGAACAGCACTCTAATGATTGAAATGTGGGAGTTTGAATGTCGTCATAGTTCCCCCTTTTCGAACCTACCAACAAGTCAATCTGAGCTTTTTTTATGTAAATGTAAATGAAATGTGTAAAGTACACAAAAAAGAAGCAACGGGACTATTTTCTGAAGAAGTGAAAATTTAAAAAAAAGTTAGGGTACTACTTTAAAGAAAACAATTTGCAGTCTTTAATTTGAAGAGAGACTTTAATGGGAAAAGTGTTCGTCTCAGTGAACTCGTACCCTCAACTTTGTGACTGCAGCCCCTCGTATATTTTTGTAATTAGAATGTTCTTCTTCTGGCAGCGAGGGCTTCAGGTAGAGACTTTATTAGTAGCCTGACGTCTCCGCGATCGTCTTCCTCGTAAAAACGTGCCCCAAGGGATGAGAGACGTCCTGAGCTTTTATCGATCATTGCTGTCAGTTTTCGCTCCAGAAGTGCTCATCGAAAATTTGCATTTTTTCCATCAGTGATATTTTCTTTTGATGTAGCTCACATCTGGTTGACATGTATTTCCTACAGCCAACCTTCTTCCAGCACTACGTCGTACAAAACTAGTCCAAAACGATCATTTACATCAGCCGGGACCTGCGGATTTCTGCAGGACGGCAGATTCGAATATAAACTGGGAGTTCGTTGTCCGACGGGGGAACATCTGCCGACGCATCCGCCGACGAAAGGAAACATGCTAAAAACTGTAAAGTGTACCGTTGCTTTTGAACGGCGAACAAAACAAACATGTTAGGATGTGTGATGGTGCGGATATGACGCCATTCTTCATTTTTCTCTTACAGTTTTCGTTGTGTTCTCTTGAGAGCCTTGCTTTTTGCTTGGCCTTTTTGTTTTTGGGTGCTATAGCAAGGGGTACTGTGGTGGC